CTTTCTCTGGCAGCCTCTGGAGAAAATGTGCAGCCAGGTGAGGCGAAGCGGGCCCTCGTTGGTCTCTGTGCAACTTCCCCGCTCCTTCACTGGTTGTTTTGTTTTTGTTTCCAACGGCGCCGCGGTGGGAGTCGGTGCGTGCGTTTCTTTGGTTCTGCTCTTCTTCCTGCTTCTCACCACGTTCGCGCAGAGGGGCGCTGCGGCTGCGGGTCCCAAAGACTGCCACTTCCTGCCCTCACAAGGGGCCGGGTTATCGTAGCGTATGTTTCATGCATTCGTTTGCTTGTGGCTGTGTGGGTGTGGGATGACTCCTCTCTCAGATGGGCGGGGGGGGGGGGGATGTCGAGTGTATTGAACCACACTGTGATCCCGCACCGCCGTCCTTTGCTTTTTCGTGGGGTGGGTTGAGCAGGGCCTCCTTCCACCGCATTGTTGTGCTTGTGGTTGTGCTTTTTGTGGGTTTTGTTGTTCCTTAAGCATTTGAGTGTTGCAGGTGTGTAGGATGTGTGCCACGTGTGCGTTTTCTCTGCGTTGGGTTTGTGCACGGGCTGCGGATGCAACGTGAATTTCATGTCTTTGTCTGTGTATGTACATATGCACCTCTGCAGGTATGTTGTGCGGTGAGGAGCAGATGCGTGCCCCGTGCGGTGCAGGGTTTAGTGGGCACATATGGCCAAGCGGCTGGGCAGTGAGACGTGAAGTAAGGCAATGGGTTCAACGCCTTTTTTTTTTTGGCCGGTGAGGATTTGGTATTTGGCGCGATCCCGGCCTCGAGGTGTGTTGCGCCCTTGCTGTGTGGGTGCGTGTTGCTCGCGGGGGAGACCAGAGGGCGGAGCGAAGTTCTTGTCGTCTGTGCGGCCCGTCCTGCGTGTGTGGTTCTTAGAGGCTTTTTTCTGTCCCCGTCTTGGACTCGTTTTGTGCGGTAAGAAATCTAAAGAAGCGAGCTGTAAAAGAAGAACACGCACACACGCGTGCACGTAGACACAGTAGAGGCTACTTGTTGGTGCGTGCCCAGTGTATAGGCGGGAATTGAGGCTACTCGAGTCTGTTGGCGTGAGAGATGCCAGGCGAAGCTCTTGTTGAGCATCTCGCCACGGGATCACAGAAGCCCATCTCTGAGCCCCATCGCTTTTTCATTTTGGTGATTGGGGCCTTTGGCTCTTTGTGCTCCTCCCTAAGCTACGCCTTTAATCTCATCTCAATGGATATGCAGTCCCGATACCACCTCAGTGGGCGCGATATTTCGACGATCATCACGGTTGGTTTGGTGATCTCCTACTTCCTTGTACCGTATGGCTTTCTTTATGATCACTTTGGGCCGAAGCCAATCTTTGCCCTGTCGACAACGTTGTTTCTGCTCGGGGCGTTTCTGTTCGCGCTTACATTTCGCGGCACAATTGAGGGTAGTGTGGTGCGCCTAAGCGTGTTCAACGTAATGTTGTCTCTTGGGAGCACGTTGTTTGATGTGGGATGCTTGATGACAGTGATGAGCCACTTTCCGGCGAGCAAGGGCGCTGCGGTGGCTATTATGAAGTCGTGCCTTGGGTTGGGCTCTGCCATCGTGGGGAGCATCCAGCTCGCCTTCTTTGACGGGAGTCCAGACATCTACTTTTATTTCCTGATGGCGCTGGTTCTCGTGGTTGGAGTTGCAAACTTCTTCCTTTTAACCCTGCCGCCGTACATATTGACGGGATATGAAGAGAACCATTTGAGCGCCGAGGAAAAGGAGCATCGCCTGGCACGACGGTCCGTTTACCTGCGGCAGCAGCCGCCCCGAATTCGCTTTATTGTTGGCCTTGCGGTAGTTGTGGTGTTGGTTGTGTATTTGCCGCTGCAGAGCGCATTGTCTGCGTACCTGAAATTGGGGAATACTTCGCACATTATTTTTGCGGTCGTCATAATTGTGCTCGTTGCGATATTACCGGTGATGGCGTTGCCTGTTCCATGGATGGAGAGAAAGGGGACAAAACAAATTGCGGATGGCTGCAAGTGGGCGGAGAATCGGGGAGCAGGCGATGATGAGTTAAATGAACCCGTAACAGAAGACGCTCGTTCAACCCACGTGGAGACGGACATAGACTACATTGCGCCGCAGTACCAGACAACCTTCATGGAGAACGTGAGGACGCTGAAGGTGTGGGCTCTCCTGTGGTGCTATTTCTGTCCCGCGGGTGCGCAGATCGTGGTGATTTTTAATGCTAACTTCATCTACGCCGCGCTGGCTGGTGAGGAGGTGAACAGCTCAGTCAAAACACTGTTAACGGTGCTGACCGGCGTGGGGAGTGCGGTGGGTCGGCTGGCGATGAGTTACTTCGAAGTCTGGTCGCAGTCACGCAAGGCGGAGGATCGAATCCCCATCACGGTGACTCTGTTTGGTTCTATTATTTGTGCCGTGTTGTCAACGGTGCTGTTCCTCGTGTTGCCCAAAGCCGCACTGCTGTTGCCGTACTTTATTGCGTCATTGGGTAACGGGTTCAGCGCCGCCACGGTTGTGTTGGTTGCCCGTACACTTTTTGCCAAGGACCATGGCAAGCACTACAACTTCTTTTCATTGCTCCAATGGGCTCCACATTATTATTGAACCGTCTTATGTACGGCGAGTGGTACACGCGTGAGGCGGAGAAGCAGGGCAGGAAGGTTTGCTTTGGCCGGGAATGCGTGAT